AGATATAGAAGAGCCAGACAACTTTGCCAAATGTTCATATAGATTGGCTATAGGACACACTCCCAAGGAAATGCCCTTTTACTGATTAGCTGCTAATAACAGATCTCATCATGAAAGTAATTACATCATATCAAATCTTATTACAGGGATCACTACATCATCACATAACCATCAAACTACACCATAAATGCCAAACTACTGAGAGTCATGGGCCACACACACGTTCAAACACTACTTCAAATCATCACAGAACCTTTCAACAACATTTCTGGCTGATTTGGAAATTACAACCATGAGGCAGCATCTTTCCCTTCTATAGTACCTCTCACCATCATCACACCCTGTCGGTTTAGAATCAGAAATCACTAATTTAAGCATTCCCTGTGTCCAAGCTAAACTTGGAGCTCTCTTGTACAGCTTCAATAGGCCTTCAAACAAAAACCATTGATCTATCCACTTTCTATCTGCCCATTAGTCTCAGCCTACCTATACGTGCCCCAATCACTGGTTTGTGTCCCACAGTCAGTGAAATTATCCAACTGTCCACATCTCAAATTCCCTGATACATGTTCCTTCTGTAGATCTGCTTGACAGAACCCCAAATTTGGAAGATCTAAATGTATTGTTCTTTGTGCCTACCCCTAAAATGCAGGGTCAGGTCGCAGAAAGGTTATACAACTAAATAGACTGTAAAGTCTGTCACCAACCTGGGACCTATTGTAATCCTAGTTTTCACGAGTCAGCTGACTCAGTAGAAATTCCTTTTACTCTTCATTATTTCTAAAAGTGTTTACCATTTCCTTTGCCCACTCTAGGGAGATTCATTTCCCCAAGAAGACCTGGGCTCCTCTTTGCATTCCTCTCTGTAAGAATGCAGAGGGGGTCTTTCCTCTCACTGACCAGCGATCGGTTCTTTTACTTCGTGATGGATTCGCTATCCTCTGGACACGTCAAGGAATGCATTCTACACCACTTTCTGCAGACCCATGCCCGTCTAGATAGAGTGGTAAGGTCTCTTCCACTAGGGTGTCAGCTAATACAGGCATAGGGATATTCCAAACAAAGCGGGCTCAGAGTCTCTGCTCTCAGTGGATAGCTGTAGATAAGTCTCAGGAATATATTTGTCTTACTCTTTTTAGGGTCCTTTGAAGAGATAAAAGGGGAGGGGTTGTTTTTTTTGTTTTGGTACCATGGACAAAAACCCTTTTGAGGCCAGGGTTAATAATAAAAAAACTTTTTAACAAAATGTATGTGGACATCTCAAATACTGTAGCTTTGCAATATGTTTTCGGAAATGCTGCCCCATATAAAAAACCGTTTTGGATGGATCAAGTATTTTAAGGAAGGTCAAAGAGGTAACCCTGAGAGGAAACTGCTTCTGTAAAAAATATGCAGCCTTGGAAGGCCTGGGCTCAGCTGTACTCTGTCCTATGCGGTCTCTATGAGTTGATATGGACTTGATGACAGGTGAGACCCCCACCTTCAATAGCTACCCCATCAGTGCTAATTCTGTGTTCTTCTGCTACATTTTCTTCATTCTTTGAGAGGGTTTCATTTTGCTTAGTGATAAATTCCCAGCACCTGGATCATTGCACGGGATATAATAAGCACTCACAGATTTGTTGTATGGTTAAATAAATTAAGACTATATTAGGAGTATAAACATGACAAAACTTAAATCTTTTACAAGGAGGAAAGATTTTTTAATTCATATATTGAGAGAAACTACAGAATCTGAAAAACAATGCATAATTCATCGTAAGTCATTCAGCAGAACATTCAGTAAAAATCAAATGCCATTTTCTTTAACAGAGTTCTGACACAGAAAATTTTATTTTTATATAAGTCTGATATAACATTAAACATTTTACAAATCAGACATTGAGTTTTTAAACCTAATTGCATAATCCTGAATGCACTATAGACAAATAAATTAATATCTTCACTGGTTTAACTTCATTTAATTTATACAAGGCTTCCATTAAAATTCCATCAGACCCTGAAAATTACCTGCACATTTAAAAAACATATAAATTAAACTTTAGGAGGTACAGAATTCTCATGTAGCAATCCAAAAGTCATTAATAAGCCAAGAAATAAAAGTAATTAAGAAGCATTTCTTAACATAAATAAATGACAACGTATCATTTTAGTATGAGTTTCTTTTTTCCCACTGACATGGTCATCCGATTCAAATAATTCATTTAAAAACTGATGAAAACCTGCCAATGCCCTTGAAAAATCTCTATTAGATTAATGGTGCTCTAAAATGGTACAGTAGAATATCACATTGGAATGTCCTGACTGCTGAGTTGAAATTTACACTTATGTCAGGTGTCATTGCTATGCTGTTAGTAACTGACTTCTTGGCAACGGGAATCTCAGTTTTTAATAACTTAATAAACCATGGCATTTAAAGAAACGCTTCTTACCCTTACATAGTTCCATAGTTGCTAAATACAGGAAAGTACAATTATCTTTGAAGTATGGGCCTTCCAATAGGAATGTGTATATTAGCATAGAAATAGGAATCAACAGAAAGAATTCATACCAATGAAATTCTGTGGACTAATTTCAAAATTAGAAATAGAGTATCCACTGCTAATGGAAGCCACGCACTCTGAAAACATGGTAGTATATATTAAACAATTACACATTTGAGGTATCAGCTGGAAGAAAAATAGAGCTCTATATATGGACACATCCACAGAGTATTCAAAGATCTATTGGCCCCAACACCAGCAGATAATCGAGTTAAATGAAAAATAAATTGTGTATCAATAGGAAATAATTACACTCAGGGAATTAAAAAAAAGTGTTTACATAATCCTTAATATAAGGAGTAGATTTTGAATTTGTCTTGAGGAGAAATGTTTCCATTTATATGAAAATTCCTATGGAACAGTAATGAAATCAAAAGGGAAGTCTAAACTCTAGGGCCATGTCCCCTGCCAGATTATTAAAGGGAGGTGCAAGAACTGCTTGAAAACCCTCACTCTGTCCACTTTTTCTTTGTAATTAACAAGTAGGATAAAAAAAACAACCTTGGGAGGACCTAATGTCGGACCTAATGTTTAAATGGAGAGAAAATGTTTTGAGAAACGATGTACAAATGCGCTTTACACAATTGATGTGTGTATGGATTGGGATAACAGTTGTATGAGCCCCTAATAAAATGTTAAAAAAATAAAAAATAAAAAAAATAAAAGCTTTAATCACATGAAAAAACAAAACAAAACAAAAAACAACAACCTTGGAAGTGATTGCAAGACTGAGGAGCCCTGGTAATAATGATGAAAGTGGACCAACATATTAGTGATTTGAACCCACTAGTGGCTCTGAGGGGAAAGGTGGTAATCTGCTTTTGTAGAGCTGGCCGTGCTGGAAAACTTACGGGCAGGTCCCATGTCCTTCCTACGAGCTTGCGCTGAGTGGGAGTGGAGTCCATGGTCGCAGGTCTCCCTGCCAGACTCCTGCTTTGTTTTTGTTCTGTACAGAATTGTATGGCTTATAGCTGGTGAGTAGGCTCAACTTGGCCAATAGACAAGGAGATTTTCCCATTATTTTAAAAAACAGTAATGATTTAGGTTTAATGTTCATTTTCACAAGGTTTTCTATTCAGATATGGAAACAGAAAGATGAGGAATCCTCTTTCAGTTTGTCTCATTCAGTATAGACTGGGGTAGCCAAATTAGTAGCACTGAACCCAAGCCACATATAGGGAAGCTAAATAAATGCACAAACTCTGCTTTCAATCATTAGGTCCTTTTACATATACTGATTAACTGGAAAGATGGCTCATTGGTCCTTAGGTCTCAACCTTAAATGTTTAACTGTCATTCACAAGTGTGTGTGTGTGGGGGGGTGTTATTTAATAAAATTAGGTAGAAATGTATTATTAGCAATATTAACATATCACATTAAAAATGATCACTGCATTTTAAAATAATACAGACTAATGGAAGGAAATCAAGAGATTAGTCATTTATCTCAGTAACTATTTTTGATATTAGTTATTGGAACTGAAGAACGAATAAGCATAAAAGAATAGTTAAAGTACAGGGCCGCCAAACCACCTTCCTGTTCCTATGACCAACTGAGCTGACACTAGACCAAAGTATTTTGATACATTGGTCTATTGATGCCAAGGACTTACTTTTCTAATTCATAAGAAAAGCTGTAATTCATAAGTAAGTACGTAATGGAACAAGTACTTAATTCAAGTCAGAATGCTCCAAAATAAACTTCCTTTTTTGTTTGTTTGTATATCAGGTGGATTATAGCTGGAAACCTCTCATTTTCAGAATTAAATGCTCAGGTTTGATTTTTTTAGATTCTAAAAATTGTAATTAATTAGCACCAGCTTATTTGGGAGCAAAAGAATCAAAAGTAGGAAAATAAGATTGCTAGCTATTTCTCTCTTCCCTAAACCTTCACAAAGACAATGTTTGTGGTGTGTGTAAAAGGAATCAGAACACATAACATTGTAAAACTCAGCTGCCTGAAAAATGAGCAAAACCTTGTGACCTTTATTATAAACAAATAGCAAACATGAAAATCTTACATCTCAAGATGGCTAAAGGATTCTTATTTTGTAGAATTAACCCAACATTCTAAGACATTTGGCTTCTACAATCAGGATGTAAGTAACATTCAAGATTCCATCTTTACGTCTACACTTTATATGTGGCTTAAGTTACAGAACTGTCAGGCATTTCCCACAGTTGTTTGAGAATTTTATCAAACTATTTTCTCTAACATTTTATGATATCGGATGGAATGCAACAGTGGAACTGAATTATAATACTGTCTCAAAGCTGTGTATGAGTTTGTGATAGACAACTTTTCCTTGGTAACTGTATCAACTTAAAGTCAAGACTAAGGGAAATGAGCTGGTAAGAAGGTTCAGTCCAATTAAGCAGCAACCACAATAGTGTAAACTTCCCATTAAAACTGGAAAAGTAAATGAGTGAAAGGTTTTATAAATTCTCTGATGCATATGAGCTTTGAAAATTTATTAGAAGTTATTAATAAAAAACTTAGTGTAACGTTTCAAGAGAGCATTTAAAATCATAGTTATCTCTTAAGAATCATTATTTCTTTTAAAGGTTAAGGCTCTACAAAAAAATGGCTAAGATGTCCAGTTTTCCTAGGACTTGTTACTTGAACCTAATTCGCTCAGGCATTTTCACGGATTCACCTGGGAAAAGGGATACAAGAGAACACCTTTTTCAAGGAGAAAATGGTCACTTTAGAAGTTTTATTCAAGACATGTCATAAATTAACCACATTCCAAAATAATCTTTAAACCAAAAGAACACTGCCACCACATCTGGTGCACGCGTGTGAGCGCACACACACACAGGTGCTTGCTCCATTAACTTAGTATAGAGAAAAATAATTAAAATATTTTAACTGTTAAACAGAGAAGACTAGAAATCAAGTAGTTTCTTACTCTATATGCAGGTACCATGCATTTTATTTCCACCTGATTTTTCTAATTTAAATGATAGATTTAATTACAAGGAGCATATTCTTATGAGAGTAACTGAATTACTCATTGGTGACCTGACCAGATTTTAGCTCGGGAATTTTTAAGAATGAGTTGCTATAAGTGACTATTCTACCTGATGCTGCATTTTTGCTCACTGTTGCAAGTGGCTGAATAGATCATGCTCTGAACAAGATACGTGTACTGAAACCTAATCACATGTTTAGAATTGGCAATGGGCTGCAAAGGCATAAAGCTTGACCTATGTAGTAATTTCTTTTACTACTTATTTGTAGAAGAATCCATTTAGTTTGAGCTTCTGCTGAAAAGATCACTAAGAAACTACAAATTTTGATAGGGGAAAATTTAGGTAGGTCCTCTTTTTCAGAAATTCTAGCAGCTTTTAAAGATATATAAATGACCATTTGGGGGCCTTTAAACTATTGGGATTGCATAACACATACCTGCAATTTACTGTTGAAAACCCTCTTAGTTTAATATTTATATAGTCATTTCCTCATATTTTCTTTAAAATCTACCAGTATATAGCATTTCCTTTGTATGCATGGCTTAGCAATTCATGAAACTAAATAGCGAACTGATACTCTATACCAGTTCATCTATCTCAGTATAACTATTTTGGAGTATAATGGCAATATTTGAAAATATCAATTCCCTCCAAGTTGGTAATGCTAAAAGATTTTACATAAACGATTTCTGCTTCTCTTATTTTGAACAGTTTCCTTGTTTAAACTCCACACATTTGATACCTAACAAGGAAAATATAATTGTCATATAGTATTTACTCCATCAACCTAATTGAGTGTCTCATGGAGCTAAACATTTACAGAATTTAAATTAAAAGGCAATACTTGTATGTACACAAAGTGATCATCATATAAATATTTACATGACAAGGGGAAAAGTGGAGAATTACTAGAACTAGAAATCGCTATAGGTATGATAATCCTCTGTTGAGACATTTTTCAGTTAGGAATCATACAAGCTTTAGACATGAAAATAAATGCAGAAGCATAATTAAAATATTAATTTCAGTTCTCACTTTCTTACTATTTAAAGGAACCAGTAGATCATATAAGCAGTCCAAGATGTCAGGAAGCAACTATTCAGTTAATTTTTTAATATCAAATCTTTTTCTTGCGCTCTCATGATGAAACTAAATTTACTTACAGAAAAAAAATGTGCTAAAAGGTATAAATAAAATTCCAGTTCATTCTCCTCTATAGATACTGGTCAGTCGCTCTAATTCTTTGCAGTTGTCCATGCTTAACGCATCTGCCTTCTTTCGAAGTCTATCATCACGGTATACTTTTGCTGCATATAGCATCTCTGTTTCTGTTAACAACAACAAAACATTTTTTTAATTCATTAACTAATAATTCATATCATTCCAGTGTTTCTATCTAATGATGCTTCATTGAAGCCCTTCAATATATTTCTACTAGCTCTTTAAAATAAAATAAAGAAGGAAAATCAAGTACTATTTCTAAAAGGTGGAAAAATCTTCCCTCAAGTCTTTCTTGTTCTGAAGTCCACATGTGAAACAAACACAAAGCTGCTCTGGAAAAGAAATAGGATAGAGTGCTATCAACTCACATTAGAGCCCTTTCCTCCACTCCTCCCAATAGTTTAACGCTGTGTCTTAAGCCTCTTGTTCTTAGGAGATCACATGCCACTTAATAGTGGCAGTGGGTGTTTCTGCTTTGTTTTCTTAACTTAAGTTAACTATCCCAAGGCTTAAACAGAAAAATTAAAATTGTTATTTTACTTGAATTAAAAAATTGTAGTAGTAACTATTAAAGGAACACAATAAAGGAAAACGCTCAGTAGAGTCTTAATGGTGGCATTCAGTGAGTAAATGCTTCTGGGCTTCCTTTAGTGTGTGGCTAGCATTACCAATAATAAATCGACAAGAAATCAAATATACTTCAGGGAAATATGCATCCCACCCCACCCCCACTCCGTAACTCTCTCTGCATCCCATTGCTCATGGACATTTCTAAAGGGCAGGCACAGTTAGGGAAGACACAATAAAAAGAAAGGGGCCACAAAATCAGTTACTTTCTGGAAAACAATGGATCAAGTAAAAGACTTATGACTTATGTGCATCAGGCAAGACCACATTCCAAATGTACTCACAAGTGTCGTTCCCATTAATAAAAACCTCCAGATACGATGTTTACCCACTCGACCAGGCTAGGACTTAACAATTTTATCCACGGGGCAGGGTTTCATTGTGTTGTACATGAGTTGGAGCTGACTCAATAGTCCCCAACAATCCCAAAAGCGTCTTTCCTTCTTGGAGCGGGTGGTAAGTTTGAACTACACACCCTGTAGGAAGCTGTTCAACGCCTACCTGAGAGAACCAAACTCAAAGACCAAACTAACCGCCACGAGTCCATGCGGACTCATAGTGACCCCTGAGGGTTTCTGAGGCTGTTACTATTTATGGGAGTAGAAAGCCCAGTCTCTCACCCAAGAAGCTGCTGGTGGTTTCAAACTGCCAACCATGCAGATTGCAGCCAAACTCATACAACACTGGGGCTCCCTGAAAGGGCCACCAGGGTACTATTCACTAATCATTCAACTAAATGGATGTTGACAATAACAGCAGTAACGTAAGTATTGTCTATTAGCTCCTTATCATGTGCCAAATGCAATGTTAGGCCACCTGTGTCTTAAACATACTGATCTCATTAAGTACTGGACCCTACTATGTTCCAGGGAATTCCAAAACAGTTTTTGAGCATGAAAATCTGTAACAAGCAATTCTAAGACACAGAATAAGTTTCAAAAATTTAAAACATTTGATAAACATACTTTGTTGTCGTTCTTTCCAGCAATTATTTCGAATATTAGTCACATAATCTTCTTCAACATTCTTTTCTATTTTTTGTAATAACATCCCTTTATATTCATTTTTAAAGTCTTTGTTGACATAATAAACAACACGCAAGTTTTCTGTCTGCATTTTAATAGTTTGTCCTGTTGTACTGTAAAAGAGGTAAATTATCATTTACTTTTTAAAGTTGGATTTTCTAATACACTACTACTACAAATGCATTGAAGCCTGCTAGAAACTTAATATCCCTCTTACAAAACAATGGCTATATATATATATATAACATATATTACATAGCAACTCATCTCTTGATCAGCTGAGTGAAAAACCACTTAACGGTACCTGGCTCAAAGGTGGCAACCAATGGTTCTGCTCTGAATGTGTCACTCTCTATAGCCCTGGACATAATCCAGTGTCACTCAACAGGCTGCTGACAGTTCACTCTTTTGAGCTTCCCATTCTTAGACTTCAACCTGTAACTTTCTTCCATTCCAGAACACCCAATTGAAAATAATTGGGTCTGTTCAGATTTTGCTTCCTAAGTCTTAACAGAATTGGTTTGAATTGGTCGAAGTCCTTGTGTTTACTACTGTAAAATCACTGGGAACATGGCAAAGTCTGTTTAATCTCACTGCATTGCACCACCATTGTCTAGAACAGATGCTAGGATGAAATTTTCTTTATATCTTGATCTCTATAATATATAGTGTGTGAAAAATACTATATCAAAGAAATAATACATGCTTTGATTTAATCAATACTTTAGAAACAGAAAAGTAAAGTCATTTCTACTTTAATGCCACATGCTGATGTAAATTCAATCACTAGTAAGTTCAGTTACTACTTTGGTTTTATCTTTAAAGCACGTATTCCCCCTTTACTGTCACCATACTAAACAATGAATTGCTACCAAGCTTCAGTATAATACTTCTGTCCTTACCCACATACTCAGTAGAACAGACATGTAAATTAACAACACAATACAAATTTATCCCCTGAAATCTTATTCAAAACATTAAAGTGAGCTTTAAAAATCAGTTTGCTAACCTGGTACCCTTGTAGTAATAAGAGAACTGGTATACTTAAAAGTACAAAAGAGCACAAAGCCTTTTAAAGGCCGCTAATAAGAAAGAGTAACCATTCGTTTTGGTAGAAATTTGCTTAGCTACTTACGATCTGGGGTACAAGGAATAAGGAGGGTTGGAGACCATCAACTGGCTTAATAGTGATACAAGGATCAATACAATAATGGGCATCAGCTGGATAAACACAGAAAAGCCACCCTATAAAAAACAAAGAACAACAAATTATAATATAACTGTAGTTGTCAGTAATCCAAAGGTTGTCATAGACTTTTTGAGGCAAGAAAGGGCATTAAAGATCACCTGGCCCAGTACTTTTAAACCTGCCTGCTGAAAGAACCAATCTCAAAAACTCACTGTCATCAAGTCAAAATCGACTCACAGTAACCCTACACAATAGGCAGGACCTGCTCCTGTGGGTTTCTGAGGCTGCAACTGTTTCCGAGAATGGAAAGCTTCATCTTTCCCCTAAAGAGCAGCTGGTGGACTTGAACTGCTAGCTTGTGGCTAAAAGCCCAATTCGTTACTCACTAC